GCAAAGGACAATGAACTATATGCCAAGCGCAACTAAATTATGTTCCTTTATTGTTCCTTAATTTTTTTTTCTTTTTTGTGATAAATTATGTAATTCTAAATTAAAATCAAATGGATCCTTTTTCAAGGTAAAGGATTCATTTGCCTTTTTAAAGTAGACAAATAAGTAATTTTGTTATTTAATTTAAAACATTATTATTTTAATTTATTAAAATGTACAATTAAAATATATTTTTTACTTAATTACATATCTACGAACCCGAATAATCACCAATATAAGTACAATTCTTTTAAAACTAATTATATAAGTTTTTGATTAATAAGTATAATACTATTTTTTTTGCAAAAAAATTATCATGCTTAAGTTCAAGTTACCTAACCATCATAAATGATAGGGATGAACTGTCTATCTGATAAACAAACTCAGCACTGCACTAGTAATGTAGTATAGCTTCTCTTCTCAATTAACTCCTAATTAAATCAAGGGTTGTTTACATTGTTGTCAAAAACTAGTGAAAAACATAAAAATTTACATTTTTACTGAAGTGATACTTATTAAAATGCAAGTAAAAACTCTCTCCGATAAAAACTGGTAAAAACTACATGTAAAAACATAAAAACGGTTTTTACGTTTTTACTTAAACTAACAAATTGAACCGAGTCAACATTTATCCCATGACCTAATTTAATTTATTTTTTTAAAAAAAAAACCTTATTTCCATTTCCCCCAAATCAAATACACAATATCTTCTTAAAAAAAAACTTGCGAGAGACCGTTGTATTTCTATTTAGGAGTTGTTAAACTTTATTCTTTTGATGTTTTGAAATTTGGTTATAGAAGTTGTTAAACTCTTTTTGTGTTTTTGGACTTATGTCTTATATAGTTATGCGATTTATATATTTTAAATATAAAGTTGTTCATTGAATTTTGAGTAGTGACTTATGTGATATGTTTTTTTTATATACATACATATATATATATATATATATATATATATATATATATATATATAGGGGTAGGATCGTTTAACACCAGTGTCAAATTTGAATTTGGCACCTCATCTGAGAGCCATTAGATCAAAAAAAGATCAACGACTTTGATTTGTAAGCATGTGACACCATTGATCTTTTTTGATCTAATGGCTCTCAGATGAGATGTCAAATTTCAAATTTGACACTGGTGTCAAATGATCTTGCCTCATATATATATATATATATATATATATATATATATATATATATATATATATATATATATATATATTTTATATCTTGATTTTAGGTAATAGAAACTTTACGTCTCGTGTCGCTTCTACGATTTACGTCTCTATCATTTCCTTCTGTTTCTACGTAAAAACTCGATTTTGACAATATTGATTATCGATGTATTTACAACATAAGATAACTTTCTCCTATTACACGAGAGAATAATTTCCCTTAAATCAATGCGGTGAGGTAACATGGAACTTTTGAGCAAATAATTATTATTTTTTGTAGAGTAAATACTCTTTTTGGTCCTCATCAAATTTCACGATGCTCGTTTTAGTCCCTAACAAATAAAAAGGCTATTTGTGATCCTAAGAAATTCAAAATGGACCTATTTAGTTAAAATCATGGTCCCTCACAAATTCAAAAAAGACTCACATTAGTCCCTCAAAAGGACTAAAATGGGTCGACTTTGAATTTCTTAGGAACCATGAATAACCTTTTTATTTGCTAGGGACTAAAGAGAATATCATAAAATTTGCTGACGAGTGAAAATTATATTTACTGTTTTTCGTAATACCTATTGGTTTACTAAAGGAAAAATAAATTGAACTCATGTGACATTAATTATAGAGAACCGTGTAGAATAGGTCCGTGTAGAATAGGTGAGTCGCTTTTTTCAACTTTAGCATGTGACGTGCTGTGTTTTCAGTCCTCCATGAATATTGAATTTTGTTTTTTTTCCTTTTTCACCAGGAGATGAAGAATGTTCATGAATTTAAATGTGTAAATTGAATGAAAAAATTGCATATTGATTAAGAATGAATTAAGTAAATATCATATAAGTAGAATAATTTATGCACTTAATATTTTAAAATAAGTTTGATTATGATATTTCAGACTCACTTAATATCGTTACTCACTTAACCTATAATTGACTATCTCTTCTCACTACTAGCTCCTCTTGCGCGGCCCAACAGAAGAAGATCTAAAAAGCTTATATTTATTAGTCATGTAATTTATCCAATATTCTAAAATCTTTAGTTGCAATTTATCAAGACAATAAATGAATCAACATGGAAATTAAAAGAAAGGTTAGAGTTAATAGCATGTGCAAGATAACCTTCTTAAAATTAGTTTTTTTTTTTTTGGTTTTCGAGAACAGAAATAGATAGAAAACTCGTTTGGTAAAACGATTTATTTTTTTATTCCCAGGATAAACCGGTTTAAATTTTGTGTAGGGGAACAACAAAAAGAATAAATTTTTTTTTGCTTTTTTGTTCCCAGGTACAAAATGAGAAACATTTGTTTCTTTCAATCACTTTCCACCACTACCATCAACACCACCACCACCACCATCATCTCGACACGACCACCGCCACCATAGTCGTCGTCGCCGTCCTCGTACCATCAGTGTCGTCGTCATTACCACCACGAGGCCACTGCCACCATTACCACAACCTCCACTCATCGCCTTCATCACCACGATGCTACCGCCACCACCACTACCATCACTGTCACCAACCACCATCATCATCGTCGCAGCCACTGCCGTCACCACCACCACCACCACCATACAACCGCTACCACCACCACTCCCAACCACTACCACCATCACTGCCGTCATCACCACCATCATGCTATCATCGCCACCGGCATTATATCATTATTACCACGCCATCACCATCGTCGCCACCAGCCACTGCTGTCACCACCATGCCATCATCACCACCACCATTGTCGCCACTACCACCACCACCACCACCACCTACCACTACCACCATCGTCGCAGTCACCACCACCGCCACCTACCACCACTACCACCGCCACCACCACCATCGCCGCAGTCACTGCCGTCACCACCACTATCATCACCGCAGCCACTGTCGTCGCCGCCGCCACCACCACCACCGCTGCAGTCACTACTGTCACCACTACCACCATGCCATCATCATCACCATCACCATCACCATCACCACGTTATTGCCATATCACTACCACCACCGCTGTCGCCACCACCACACCATATGGAAAGGAAAGTGATGATCTGAAAAAAAATTATGCATAATAGGAATTATTTTTTATTATTTTATTTGTTGTGTTATCAAACGCAATTCTCATTCTCGGAATAAAATTAGAACATGTTATCAAACAAATTTTTTTTCTCAAAAACTGTTCCAAGGCACAGAAATAAAAAAAGAATTATTTCTTTTCAGAAAAAATGTCAGGGAACAGAATGGTTGTCATGTACTTTCATAATCTCTCGGGAACACAACTTCTGCTTAAGTACCAGCTTAATGCTTCAATGTATAAATTACAAGTATCTCATATAGCATACAAGTATTTTTAAATTAAGGTAAAATATAAAAAAGAATATTATGAAGGAGGAAAAACAATTAAAAATATTTTAAATTATAAAGGAGATATGCATTATAGTTCATATGTTACAAAAAACAATATAAATTAAAAAAAATAAAATTATAAAGAAGACATGTATACTTAGTTTAACTTTAGAAAAAATACAAGTTAATGACATGTATCATTCCTTAAAGAAGAATAAACTAAGAGGTTTAATTACTCTCGACTCATAGAGAATATGTTCTAATTTAATATATAGGAATAAATTATTGATGAAGATGAAGTGATCATGTTCGCGCATACAAATTTAAAAAGAAAAAATTTCAACTTTTGCCATTATAGACTCATTGATTCTATTTTTGACATTGATTGGCATATAGTAAAAATATTTATGGTTGCTACACAATCTTCAGAATAACAACTATATGTTATTACTACCTACGCATATAACTGTTTCTCATAGCAATGCTTCAATACCAACAGTCACAAATTACGGTAGAGAGTATTGGGAGGAAATGACTTTTATACACATACATTCGGTAGCCAGGGAAAAAGAGCACAAAGATGTTTCATTTATTTCTTATTATTTATGATGGTTGGTAATTTGGGTTTGTTGAATAAAAAAAATGTTATTGTAATCAGGAAGTGTATTAAGAAAAAACGAAAATCAGTATTGATTAATAACGCCAATTCTTATTATTAAATGTTAACTCAATCTATGATTAATTATCTGTATTAAATCAAAGGTTCAAATGTACCCGCATGTGCTGCGTGCAAAGTAACAGATAAATGTTGAAAGTTCAATCTTCTTACAAACGTGTAAAATGAGATTAATTTATATAACGAATCTTCTATCTGGAGCTGTGTGGAGATCACATGCATGGGTCTTGTCGAGTTAACGTCATTCTTCAGAGAATCAAACAAGAATGAGTATATCCATCCACGTCTTAGTGTAATTATATATCTCATGGTCAAATCTATGGATGCACAACACGTGTTGGTGGGGCTTCTTGCAATGATTTATATATTCTAATTCTCAATGCTTGATGCATCAGAATTTAGAAGGCTCCATCGATCACTTGTGTCATGACTTATGACTCCTTTTACACAATTACATATCCAAAAATAGCCATATATATTATGTATCCATATTAGAATTTTTAGTAATACAAAAGCAAAGGTAACTGAATTTTGTAATAATGCTATAAGAATATTTTTAAAAAAATAATAATAATTAAAGCTATTGAATTGTATATAAATTCGTGTAATTTTTTTTAATTATGTACGCTAGTGTTTATAAATTAACACCAATAATGCTCCTATACACTAATACTGGTAAACAATATTCCTATAAACAATGTACCAAAAAAATACTGGTAAACATGACAGTAGTTAAACACAAACTAGAGATAGTGCTCTTATTAATTACGAACCAGAACCAGAAAGGATTCAAATACAGCACTTAAACACACACGAGATAATTTAAAACACTGATAAAGATGCATGTAGGATTTGGATTCCTACTCTTAATATACAATAGTAAAAGGAAACCAACCACAAGCTCCATTAGATAGAGATGCTATTGGGAATTCCTCTGAAAGTCAATCCTTCCCCACTGGTAGGATGAAGCAGAGTGTATGGCAATTGAACAGGTCCAATTCGGTTCCTCAGACTTGCATCACTGTTCTTCTTTGAGAGTTTTGCTTCAATCTCTGCCAGCTTGTTTCCAAACTTTTTAAAGGCTTCTAATGCCTTCGAATCAGAGGTCCAATATGGACTGTCCCTCTCTCCAAGGTAAACCTCATCAGAAGCATGTCTTGACAAGATTTCTATAACCGTAAGGTCAATAAGGGCCTCTTTCTTCCCAGTAATTGTTCTCAAATAAGCCTTTTGTGGGCTCTTCACCATTTCATCATATTGTGCAGTTCCTTTCTCTGGAAGCAATCTTCTACTAATAGTTGGACGGTTTAGGATCAAACCTCCATAAGGATACTGTCCAAAATTAACAGCTGCATGGAGAGCTGAAGCAGTCCATATGATAATAGTGCATGTTTCAACAAGCTCTTCAATTGTGTGCAACTTAGGCCACCATGGCTTATCTTTCAAATCACCATGACCTACCTCTACAACTTCTTTCCACCAACTTTGAAGTTCAGGGTCACTTTTGACAGCATTATCTGATGCATAGTACAATGAGACATAATCTTGAACCCATGATTTAATAGCAGCCCATATCTCTAGTCCATCAACAGCATAAGGGTAGTCTTCTATCAGAAGACGAATTCCATGTGGGGAAGATGAATCCTTAACAGCCACTCCTCTGAATTAAGCAAAACACAATCATATGTCAAAAATAACAAAGCACTAAAATAAAACTTTACCCCCCCTCCCCTTGATGCTTAATAGTTGACAATCTTTTAATATTTTTTTCTAATGTTATCCTTGTAAAGATTACCTCTTGATAAGATCAGCAGGCAATCCTTGATCAACAAAAACCCAATTCTTATAAACTGCAGAAGACATCTCCACAGAATATGGTCCGGGCAAAAATGATTTCTCTATAATGCCATCTGCTTGAATTAGAGAACTTCGGGCAAGTGCATTGATGTTCATGGTGTCACGGTAATGAGGATACAAAAGCTTATTAATAGGGTGAAGAACACTGAGTTGCCGGTTTGTAGCTATGATGAATGGCTCAACCGCTGCATGAGTATTCAACCTATGAACACACAAAAATAAAAAAATATATATTGAGAATCACTTTAACTTAATAAACTATGGATACACAATATGGATCTTTTGATTCCGGTGTAAGATTTAGAAGTCTTATTTCTCATCCTTACCGTTGATTTCTATCTATTTACGGTTGTCATTTATATGAAATTAATAATGAATTAATTAGTATAACTCAATAAATTATAATTGTTAGATTGATGGAAATCAACGATTAGGATGAAGAGTAAAACTAATACATCTTACACCACCGGAGTTAAAAGATCCCTCACCATAATAATAATTGATTTGTATATGTTGACTGAATGACCAAATTAATATATACCAGTGGCTCATGAGTTGATGATAGCAAGAATCATTTACGACCACATAAGCTTTGGCCAGTAGCCAAACTATACTTTCATCACCTTCATTTGCAGGGAGGATGACTTGACTCACGGCACCATACTTGTCTCCATCAGGATGTGGCAAACTTAATTCGATGGCCCTTGGGGACAATGTCCCGTCATCTTTCAAAAACAGAAATGTCCTTGTGGCATAAGCCTTTCCACTAGTATTATTGTTTATCTTCCTCAGATATGGCATAAATGCATCATGGTGATCTAATATGAATAATCTCTTACTAGTAAGTGCCTGTTTCCACAAAATTAATTTTCATCACCTTGGATTTTATGTAAGCACAAGATATAGGATTTTACTATTAAAAATAAATAAAAAATACCTCATCAACTGTATACCCATCTAGATTGAGGACTTCTGAGGTTATCATACTTGTCTGATCACCATAGACTGATGGATCAAGACTGCTTTTTGGTGGAAACTCCTACCATTCATTATACAATCATCATTAGGAAAGATTATAATCAAGGACTCCCCATTACCCCATTACATCAACACTTGGACTTACTTGAAGACATTGAATCATGACAGGATTTACACCAGCAATAATCTCTCTTGCAAATTCTTCATCAGTCATCCATGCTGACTTACTCACTGCTCAGATAATAAAGAACATCATTGTTAAGATTAATTAAACCCTTCCACAAATGCTTGAGTTTTGCTTTGGTGGAATTAAGATATATTTATTTTATCAAACCTTGAATGACATGAGGTGGTGGAAACTTGAGGACTTGTTCCCCATCAGTACGGAAGATTTCTTTGATCACTGGTAAGGGGCTAATTTGGCTAATTATATTTGTAGGCAACTTAATTCCACCTTCAAAGAGTCCACGCACTTCGTCGAAGCTATCAAACTCGGGTTGCAATATATTCAAATCGAACACAGATTGGAACAAAGGTAAGACAGTTTGAGACAGAGATTTAATTCCATAAATAAGGAAGTCAGAAGACTTCAAGTGACCAAAATTTTCATCTCTTGGAACATAAACTTCGACGGGTGGTGCCTCACATGTTAGATCTGTTCAAGAATAATTAAGGGCAACTTGTATACATTAGCAAAAATAACATAATCTTAATATTCATCATGTTTATTTAAACATCCCTTATTATTATGGTAATGGTATCATTTAACCAACTTAACCAACAATTCTCTGTTATAAATACATCAATCATTTCATTTGAAGTAAAATACACATGCCCATTTTTTCATATGTTGAAATCTGCTGAAAAAATATTATCAAGATAGAACTTATTACCACATCATTTAATTAATAAAAAGACATAAAAGTCTAACCTTTCCTTGTTGCTTTTCTACCAGTTCTTCCCCTACGAGGGTAGGGATGGGAGCTGGACCCTCCAAGAACAGGGCGAGCGTACTTTTCACCGCTATCTGGCTTGCCAAGATCATTGTAGACATCATAATCATAGATCCTATCATATTCTTTGCGCTCTCCTGTTCCATCTCCTCTTAAAGTCTTAAGTTCTTCTTCTCTGTACTTGACAAGTGCAGCTGGTGTTTCACTTGGAAGATACGTCTACATTACATTACATTAAATGAATTTTCTAATTATTAACCATGCAGTTTTAAATATACTTAATTTTATAAACTAGTTCCTAGTTTAATGCAAGGCTTACATTGTTGACAAAGAAAATGCGATCGGTTTTGTAAGTTTTTGAGTTGTAAACCCATGAGTTGCAAACAAAACGGATTGTTCCATGGTTTGGAATGTCTTCAAGTGTTAAACTCTTGAGGTAAAACTCAACTTGCATATAGTTCTTTATATAAAATGCACCGGGAATTCCCATGTCGCTGTCCCATTCAAAATGAATGTTGAATGCTGATTCCCCTGCTCCTAAAGTTGGTAACGATGCAATTATACCTTCCAAAAACGTTTCCTTTCCTGTTTTCCCCTTTCCATGTGCTACAAAAAAAAAAAAAATGCCACACAAATTTCGGAATTAACTTTAAACTATAAAATGTTTATATACTTGAATACTGAATGGCAAAAACAATAATGACCACACTTCACTATACGCATAAAACAATAATAAAAAATCTAGCCGTTGCTGTCAATATTAATAATTCAAAAAATATTTCTTATAATTTTTGTGTAAAGATCAGGATATTTTTAATTTTTTTTATAACTTGGAAGTTGATTTTATTTATATTTAATGACTTAATTTTTTTATTATATGAATAATTTAATACAAGCGAATCAAAAATAAATGTAAGATTTGTTATATATATATTTATGAAAAATAATCAGATTATACCAATACAACTTATTAGAGATTACTACAGAGAAGAATCATACCTCATCACGGATTAATAAATGACTTACTCTCTTTAGACCCATTAAATATAAGTAAGATAAACTATTAATAACAAGTGTAGTTCATATATATATGTATAGAACTATTAATAGCTATCATTCATTTTTGAGTCACAATATTTTAATTACTAAAAATTCTTACTACTAACTTACTACCTACCACATCATCATTGGATCAAAGAGAGAAAATGTTAAAAAGTTTTTGAAGAGAGAGAAAATATTAATCTAATGGTGATAAAATAGGTAGTAAGTTGGTAATGAAAAATTTTAGTAGCTAGAATATTCTTCCTCTTCATTTTTATGTAACTATATATATATTGTCAAATTTTTTTACCCGAATAGTATTTTTTATGATTGCCACATGTCAAAATTTGTTATTATTCGTGGTCAATAATTTCGTGACACGTGATATTATTCGTGTGCTACATAGCGTACCAAGTTCGTTATCACCGGTAGCGAATTTGATCCGATCAACTTTTCTTACAAAAATATGTCAACTATCAGTAATAGCAAATTTTGATGTATGACAATCTGATAAAAAGTACTATTTACGTGATATTTAAGTAAAAAATTTGCCCGTGACACTTTGATCACTGTTTCCTTCGAATTGTTTTATTATTGTATATTTTGTTGATAGGAAGTCATGTAATAGTTTAGAAGGAGGTGAAGAAAAGAGGAGAAAGTGTTGTGTGACTCTGATTGGGGGAAGATGAAGGAGAAGTGAGAAAGAAAGAAAGAACAAACCATCAGCCTTGGTAGCACTAATGAGCTGGAGGCCAATGCTACGGCCCAAGAAGGCAGTGAGGCCGTCAACAGTTGAACCAATGACGTTGAAGCCTGTGCCAATGATTCCCCCAACGTTTCCACTGGTAACAGTACTTGAGATGGTGTTGAAGTCCAACACATTCTTGCGCATCAACACCACTGTCCCTTTGATCTTTTGGCCTCTGTTTATGATCCCTGTTACCCCTGAAAACATCTTTGCTACTAATTATTAGCTCAGCTTCCAAACACTTCTAGATCATATGATGGAGGAAAAGAACTAGTCTGTCACTTGAGGAAACTAAGCAAACCATTCAGGGTATTTATAGAGAAAAAAGATGAAGAAGAATTGGATCACTAAGGAAGGGTTACTCCCATTATTATTTTCTCTTACCCACTTTCTTAATGTGGAAAATTTTTATTGTGCCAGGTATATCTTTTTTCAAAAAAAAAAAAATTCTTATACTTTTATCCATATTAAGTTAGGGTTTATCATTTATCATTTAACATGACCACAAAGATTTTCCTACACACACAACATTTTGTGGGGCCCGCAGCAAAAAAAAAAAAAAAACTCTTGCACGCAAAACGAATCTCTATAACATAACACAATCACTTTTCCTACAACATAACTCTTATAAAACCCATTAAGTTATTTTCATCTAAATCAATTTTTTTAAGTAAATATTCTTTTTTGGTCCTCAGCAAATTTTATGATGTCCGCGTAAATAAAAAGGTCCATTGTGATCTTAAGAAATTCAAAATAGACTCATTTTAGTCCTTTTAAGAACTAATATGGGTCTTTTTTAAATTTGTGAGAGATCACAATTTTAACTAAATGGGTCCATTTTAAATTTTTTAGGAATCACAATAGACCTTTTTATTTGCTAGGGACTAAAACAGATATCGTGAAATTTGTTGATTAACAAAAATGATTTTTTTTTTTTTTTTTTTTTTTTAGTTCTTTTAAACAGATCACAGATGTATGGAGCTGCAACAAGAAAAAAAGCGCTCTTTAACGTGCAATATGTCTTCTTGAGGACTGCAAACGAAAACGACAAAGTTAGGTACAAAGTATTCAGAAAATCTGAAAAGAGGATAAAATATGTAAAATATCAAATTTGATATATCAATAATAAATTTTATATTCAATTTTATTGGTTGAATTTAGTGCATTTAATAATTAAAATTATTAAGATATATTAATTAATTAATTACTAATCTATAATAAATTAATGTATACAAAATACATAAATTATATTTATTAGATAGAAAATGTTATACTTACTGCTATTTTAATCGTATTACTTGTTTAATTACCTTTTGATTAATTTTTTTTAATCATTAATTTCAATTTGATCTAACGGTAATTATATAAATAATAAGAGTAATAAGAGTAGTAAGATTAAAATAATAATAAATATGACCGCCCTCTATTAGAAACACGAAAATCATCAATAAAATTGAAAATAAAATTTATTATTTCTACCTCCGTGTGAGTTGATTTTGCCATTTTTCGTTGTTTTTCTTTTATACATTCATTTTTCGTTGTTATTTTTTTTTTAATAATTATAAAAAAATATCATTTTACTTTATTTTTTTTATTTTAAAATTTTACTAAAAATTATTAATATTTTTATAATTACAAATAAAATATATTAATAAAAAATAAAAAATGAACTAAACACTATGTAAGTATGTGACTGTCCAAAAAAGTTATATAGAAGGACTTACATTTACAAATACGGATAAGATGGAGAAAGGGACAACGCCTTGTTTATTCACCTATACAATAATAATAATAATAATTTAATTTATCAAAGGATTAATCTCGTACTAGCTTGTGAGGAAACTGTTTAAGATTTTAAAAAAGAAAAAGGACAGAGACGCTGGTATCGAACAGTATACTGAATATATTTGATTATTTAATGCGTTTGTTTTTATATCCATGGTATACCAACAAAACTTGTTCCTTTGTGTTATGATAATTTTGATTTTGTTACACTAGGAAATATAAAAATATCGTCTTAATATCTATATGATAGAAAAGGTGCGAGTAGCTGCCTTTTTTCTATATAAATATTATGGCAAATTACCTTGGATTTTGTTTAACAATTTTTATCTGTTTGAAAGTGATCTGGATAAAATATAATAGGCTTATTACGTGTGAAAATCCAAAAGATCAAGGCCCAAATACATAAAGGCTCATATAAATACACAATGTCTTCATCGCGCATCAAGAATCAGAGGACGCAATGGTCTCATCACACATAAATCACCTAAAACCTGACTTCAAGACTAAGGAAGAAATTTATAACACGGCAGGGAACCACCGCATCATGAGCCAATACTCTAAAGACAGCACTAGATTGCCACCCCTCTAGAAAGGTAGCTTGACATATAGAGGTATAGCCAGAAAAACACCAATTGAGAACAAGATAAACTTGCAACTCATAAACGGCCAATTAGAAGACACATCGTCTACCAAAGACGACATCAGATTTGCTATATAAACAAGGGGTACACACCCAGATAGAATAACCTAATTCAATAAGAATACAACATAAGCTTTGCTCTGATACTGACTTAAGCGTCGGAGTGTTTTTGCCGATACACCCCCGGTCAGAGTCATCACGCCAAGAGAGATCATCACCAATTCATCTCATATACGCCATCTCTAGCCCAATAATCATATTGCCCAACTGAAATCCTTCACTTTTCAACTGTGTGTAATTAGGTCCAATACACATTGGCTCGTCCATACTGTACTGGTATGATCAGAAAGCATTTTTAAATTAATTTTGGTATAACAAATTTTAATTAAAATATTACAGGGAATTCTATATTGAAAAATTATAAAACCAAAAATAGACCAAGTTAATTTGTTCTATAAGAAATATGAATAAAATTATTTAAAAGCTTATTTTAATTGCGGTGTTTAGATTTGGGAGATTTTCATAAAGCTGATTATAGTTCTTCTTTTGAAAAATAAACTTGGGAAAGCTAATTATTTTCTCCCCCTTATTTCATACCCAATACCCTGCCTATGTTAATTTCATCAGCTTCGTTGACAAGACAATCAGATGATAATGATTTTTTTATTTAAAAAATAAGGACAAGGAATGAAACAGCCGATGACTTTTTCAACTAAGAAAATTATATTTTAATATCTTGGCTGGCCACGCTCTCCTCGAGCAGCGCTTAAATAAAAAATAAAATAAAAAAATAGTTAAATGTGTTGCGAAATGATTCTTCTTCTTTTTCTCCTAACATTTTAGGAAAATATGTATATTATTAATTATTCCAGCACATTGGTTTTAATTGTGAATTTTTTTTGTCATCTTCTTCGTTTAAATTGTAGTTGTACATTTGTAAGATGGGTTTATTTCTTTATGTTTTATTATTATACACAGTTTCATTGAAAATTATATATAAAATAATAATAATAATAATAACATGTTTATCATATTATATATATATATATATTTAATCATTAATTTGTACCTGTGTAAATTTAAAAAGTTGTATACTTATTATTAGTTATTAATTTTAACCAATACCTCACCAAAAAAAAAAATTAACCAATAAATATCAAACGATTATAAATAAAATTACTTGAATTATTAATATCGAATAAATTATAATTATTAAATACAAATAAAATTATAACTAATAATAAATGTTAGATTTTTTATATTTACACTTGCATAAATTTATTTTCCACTATATTTGGGGCGAGTTAACTGGAGGTGTTAGATAGTGAAAATGAATTAATTTTAGTTATATAATTTTTCTTCAGTGGAATTAATTTTAATTAGATGTATCCAGAATCATTGATGTCCGACAAATGGAAAGGTAAAAGGTAGTGTTATAGGCTGGCAGCTACTGACCATAATACCCTGCGATGGGATGGGATCGTACCGTCTAATTTCACATTTGTACCTACTTTTCCCTCTTTTTTACTTTCTCTTCTTTTATTTTTGGATAATGCATCTACTTTTTGTGCAATGTAAGGTCCGTTCGAAATCCACAATTACATAAATTAAAAATGAAAAAGAAAAAGAGATAAAGAGAGAATAGACACAACGATTTACCTTGATTCATCTAATATAAGCTACGTTCAGCTTGTCTGTACTATATTCACCTCACCGCTACTCGTTACAAGTCACTCGATTTACCAGGAAAATATAAATAGGATTAGAAAACCCTAACAACAGCTATTCATGGGCCTAAGCCCAAATTGTTAAGTAAATTACAATAAAACAGAGACCCATAAAAGTACCTAGCCTCTACGGGCCTGGGGACGCTGTCCCCCAGACCCCGGCCCGCTTACCTGGGAGCAGAACACCAGTTGCCTTTCGACTGACCTCGATAACTAAAACTCTCTTCAGCATGCGAAGTATGAGCCGTACCCAACAAGACAAAAGTCCAGTAATAAAGTTTATATATGTCTATATAACAATATAAACGTTAATAATTATGTTTCGGTAATTTTAAAATGATTTAATTAAGTTTTTACTATTGGACCACCGTCAGAATTTTAAGGAAAAAGTTCGAGAACTCAATATAGTTTCTTCCATAATCATTTACCTTTTATATATATATTTTTTATCATTTATTTTCCCGTAAATTTTTTTTATCTAAATTCATTGTTAAAGCTGTTGACTATTGAGTTAATCGCTTTATTTTACACTTACTATAATTTTAACTTTACTTAATTAGTTATTATTGAATTAATTTAAAATTAACAGTTAAAAAATTAAAAAAATTAATTATTATTGATTTTAAATTAATCTAACTATAACTAATCAGGTAATAAGAGCAGTAAAGTTAAAATGATAATAATTATAATATTTTCATGAAAATATTACTACTACAAATATTAATTGAGGGAGATTATTTTTATAATTTATTTTTTTTACAACTTTTTATAATCACTTTTATGGTCGTTAGATTAAAGTTCAATCAATAATTATAAAATAATATTAAGTGAAAGTCATTAATTTTGTATTTAATCTAACAACCATAAAAATAACTGTAAAATTTTTTAGGAGATAATAAGTTATAGGGAAAAATTACTCTTATGCTACATGTGATAACTTTCTCTACTACACTTCCTTCGATAACTGTACCACCTTTTTCTTTTCTTTTCTTTTTATTTTTCAGATGGTGGAGTCCACAAATTTATCTCTATGACATGAGATAACTTATCTCCTT